GATTTTTTTCCTTTTGTTTTTTTATGATTTTTTTAAAAAAATTATTTGTCTATTTTATTTTTTTAATATTAAGTTGGTTGAGAATTTAGCTTTGTAGTTTAACTTTTCTTAAAAACATTGTGCACTGCAATAATGGTTCTTTATATAATTGTTTTTAAAAAAAAATTATGATTTTTTCTACAAATCTATGACAATACACAAATATACTATAAGCCCGCGGCAGCACGCAGGCATGACAACTAGTAAATGGTAAAGTTTGTATTGATCGAGAAACAATAAGGTCCACTCAAACAAAAAGGTTTAAATTAAGAAATAAACCTTAAAGTTTACATTAAACAATAAATTATAGGTTTAAATCAAGTGATAAATAATAAATATTTGTATTAATAAACTATAGAATTGCATAGAAGTATGGATTTTTGTGGTATCTTGTGGTTTATTTGAATTACTTGTAACAAATTAATTTTTGATATTGTCGATTCTAATTGGGATAAAGTTTATGATTTCAGAATTTTATGTGTATATGTGTTAATCTAGCTAATTAATGTTCAAATTATGTGATAAGATGATCTAATATTCAATGTTACATATGTGCGACACCGCGACAATCGTTTACTCTCAATATTGTATCTATCTAGCAAATGTGGGAAGACAAATAATTCTTGTTTTTTATCAGTGAAAAGCGAGAATAAGAGTCACCACCTAGTATTTTGGTCACTAAAAACTCCTAATTGGTCTCAGAGATCAGGTACGAAGACTTGTTGTCTAAAGGGAAGATATTGGCACCCTAACTATGCCCTATATAAGATAAGCTACATTATTTGATTGTCTTATAAAAGCTAAGGTATTGTCGTGTTTTCTAATTATTGACCTATCTAATGTATAAGAAAAGTCTTTTTCGATAAGGAGGTCTTTATCTTATAAGGTGAAACCTAACTATTCTGATGTCAACCAAAGAAACTAATTTTAATATTAGTAGTACATCTTAGCTGTAAGTTCGTGATCCCAGATATTAAAAGAAAACAAAATAATTTTTTTGGAATTTTTAAAATCTTGGCCTAGTTCTCATTACTTTAATAAATTGGTTATTAAAACCAAAATGCATGCTAACACATATTTTTGAATTTTTATCATATGAAAATACAATATGATTTTATATATATATATGTATGTATGTATGTATGTATGTATGTATGTATGTATGTATAAGAGACTCGGCTGTATGCATGAACACAAGATATTTTTTTGTTTTATGATTTTTTGCAATGTTTCAATGAAAATCAGGTATTTTAATACTGGCTTTGTATTTTTATGGTATAAAAAACAAACCAATATTAATCAAAATAGATTAAAAAAATACACGAGAAATCATAATTTTTTAAAAAAATATTTTTTTGATTTTTTTTTTACTTGACCTGACCTAAAATGAAATTTGGTTCGACCAACCCAAATGAAATACAAACTCCTTTAATTGGGTTGGACGCAGCCCAGCCGCATGGGATGGGCTAATGATCCAACCCGTAGCAACCGTGGACTGGTTATTATGCTCTTGCATAATAACTAGTCAATTATAATTAGTCGGTTATAACTAGTCAATTATAATTAGCAACCGTGGACTGGTGATGGAATGACAGTGTTGTTTCTATTTCTTCCCTCTTGGTTTTTTCTCTTTTTTCTTTTTTTATTTCTTTCTTCTTCCTTTCCCCTTCCCTATTCTCCCTTGTTTTCTTTCTTTTCTTTCTTGCCTTTATTTTCTATTCTTTTCTCTCCTCAGTCTCCCCTCTCAAACCATCCCCTGTTTCCTTCTCTCTATTCTATCTCTGTTCTTTTTTCTTGTTTGCTCCTACTCTCTTTTTTTGTTTTGTATTATGCGTTTTCTTCTCTTAAAACCCCAAAACATTCTTTTTTATTCCCTTTCATTTTTTCGTTCCCTTTGGTTCTCAAAATCTCCATGTCCCCTCTTTTCAATATTACCTTTGTTCGACCCCTTTCTCCTCTTCTTTCTCTCTATTTATGCCCCCCTCTCTATTCATCTCTTCTCTCTATACTTCCCCCTTGTTTTTTCTCCCCCCCCCCACTAACCCTCTCTCTCCCCAGGTAGTTATAAGTGGAAAACAGGAGACAGAGGGCTACTAGCCCTGTCCAGTCATAGCACAAGGGTGGGGTGGGTAAGCGGCTACTGTGCAGTCGTCTCAGGGTCGTCCAAGGGCTTGTCCCCCTTTTTTTTTCATCTGGTGGTAGGCTACGGGTCAAAGTTTAGGCATATGGGGTTTTTGTCGATTTTTTGGGTTTTGGGAGAGAGAGGGAGAGGAGCAGATGTAGGGGAACATAATTCTTCTTCCCTTGCCTTTACAAATCCAGGGAAAAAGAAGAACCCACAGTATCACTCCAAACGGTATCGTTTTGGGCTTCTTCTTTTCTTCTTTTTTTTTAATAGTAGATGAAATTGCACCGTTTTGCCCAAAACACACCGTTTCATTTTAAAGGAAATGGCTTCAAAATGTGTCAACTTTCAAATTAGTAATTAATTTGTGATTTATTCAATTTGGTCCTTGATTCAATCAATTCCAGACCTCTATTTATGCGATTTTTTCAGTTTGGTCCTTGGTTTTGGATTTCTTCAATCAAGTCCCTAATTGACCATCAAACTTTAATATTTATGCAATTAAGCCCCAGATTTGACCAAATCAACTCTTAAAAATTATAACTAGACATCATAACTTTAATTTCTTTCAATTAAAGCCTAAATTGACTTAAAAATCAATTTTTCTTACAATCAAACCGGAGTAAATTCAATTAAACCTTTAATAAAATTTAATTGAATCTATAAACATCTGATTTTGAACTTTTCTTTCTTAAATTGAGTTTTTATTGTCAATAGGGCTCTAATCAGTCAAAATATATTATCAAATTTCAAACTTTGTAATTTTTAACCTTCTAAACCAATTTCTGACTATTTTATGGATGCTCCGACATTCTTTTCTCACTGATATTATTTTTTGGATTTCTGACTATTTTCTTTTTTTATGCGAGGTTCAGGATTAATATTTTTTTGTTGTTTTTTTACTATTTTCATTATAAATTTTTCTTTTAGTCAATTTATTATTTTCTTAATAACACTAACTAGATCTTATTAATATTCTATCTCGATTATTATTAAAAAAAACATAGAAGTATGAAGCTAATACAATACATACACACATGATAAAGAAACAATAAAAATAATTAAGAACATGTAGAGAAAACATTTAAAGAAATTGATAGATAAAACATGTAAATAAAAAGAAAGCATATAAATAAAATAAAGAGCTACAAAAAACACTTAGGAAAAACATCGTATAATCATCTTGAGAAAGCTTATATTGAAATTGTTGGTATACAAAGGTAGGCTAAAGAGTTGCAAAGAGCAAAACTCTCCTTAAATACCCATTCTAAAGCTTAAGCTACTTACTTGTGTTACAATTACGTACGAAATTGAAACAAATTTAAATATGAATTTATTAATTATGATAATTCTTAATGTCCAAATTAGACAAATAAACAAACAATATATAATTAATGGGATTCCTTAAACACTCATTCTAAGGCTTAATTAAGCTAGAAGTGAGCTTCTAACTATGAATTTATTAACTATGACGATTTTTAATATCTAAATCCGATAAATAAAAAATAATATATAATTAAGGGTTATATATAAAAATAAATAAATAAATAAATGTTCTTTATTTTGGGCATCAACATTTTCGTGAGCTCTTGTAGTTAGTTCATGGTAACCGCATTGTTAGTAACACGGCCCTTCGATTGCAGAATCATTATGAATATCCAGAGGCTATGTAGCAAAAGCTTGACCTTTCTCATGCAATTCTTTTTAATTATACTATTTTTATAGATTAAACAATATCAAGTTTTCCCAAAACTTACATGATAATAATGAAAAAACCATTGGAAAAAAAAAACCCTTTTAGGACATTTTTAATTTTTTGATTTCTAAGATTATTTTGATTATTTTACTATAGTTTTTAATTTTTGTATTATTTTTTATCTTTGGTAAAATACCAAGTCCCCCCATCATCTAACATTGTAATAACAAAAAAACAATAATGTCAGCACCTAATTGCCCTTTACACTAGTTTTGAATTTTTTTTAATTTCAATAATATAATGATTTTTTTATAATATTATTAAACCTAATCAAACTAATCTTGAAACTTCTTAACACGTTCTCTTTTTAATTATGCTGCTTGATAGCTTACCTAACATTAATTAATATTATTTAATTAAATGGTGAAAAAACATTCAACTATAATAAACAAACAAAAAACAGTCATAATAGTATAGAAAATTTTTTTTGCTAAAAAAGCAAAGATAAAACTGATTTTCTAATCAACTCAATATTAAAAAGTAATTATTATTTAAAAAAGAATAAAAAACCAATCTTATTGAGTATGTCAAACCTATAAACTGGATCATGAAATTAAAATAATATAATATAAAACAAATAAAAAAATATAAAATTTAATTCTCAATAAATTATTTAATGTAGAATAATAAAATTAAGGAAAAAACAACAAAAAGAACAAAAAAACAACTACAAACTCTTGCAACCTAAATCATACAAACGTGATAACATAATAGAAAGTGAAATCAAAAAAATTATAAAATTTAAATCTAAAATATATAAAAAATTTCTAAATAAATTAATTTAAACTAATTTATTAAACTAATAAATATATAATGATACCAAGATAATTCCAAAAAAAAACAAAAAAAAATAACTAAATCTAAGTTCACAAAAATCTACCAAGCAAAAAACCTCATTATTTCAAAGACAAAGGATTAAATTTAAAACAAAAATGATGACCAAAACATAATATATCAAAGAAAAAAAATCAAACCAAATCAATGGACCTACAGTGAATTCAAGAGAAGAATGAGGTTGGGTTTTTTTTTTTAAGATTTAAATTCAATTATTCCCAGAGAAAAAAGAAGTTCCAGGGACTGGAGAAGTCTGCAATGATGAGAATGCAGGTTTTTTATTTCTTTCACCTTTTCCATTTTTCCTGCAGACACTATCATCCAACCAAAGCTTTCCATTAGTAATGACAACAAAATGAACAGAAACTGTAGTTTTTTTCAGAATTAGCCACTCCAAGCAGCAAGAACGAGACCAATTCCCAGTTAAAATATATTTAAGTCTATTTTAAATTTTTAATGCTACCAGCTGACTGTTTATAGATAGAGAATAGCACCCTCCCCATGGGACACCAAGATTACTAATATTGAGAGGGATGTAGTTCAATTAATTATAATTATAATATAGATTTATTTTTTAAAAATTATTAATTTAAATCTCATTGATTTTAGGGTTATTAGAGGCAGAGATAAGTAAAAAAATTGATTAAACTGGAAAAAAACTAAAAAAACAGAACTATGAAAAAAACAGATTAAAATTTTAAAAAAACTGATCGGTTTGGTTTCGGTTTTACAAGTTTAAAATCAAATCAAACCAAACCCTAAAAAAATAAAAAAAATGAGACAAATAGAAAAATTGAGTCAAACTGGTTTAAACTAATTTTTGTACTAAAAAACTGAATCAACCTAAACTGAAACCAGTTAATTTGAACCGGTTTTGGTTTGATTATTTTTTTTATAAAAAACAATCCGAACAAAAAATAATCATTTCTAACTAGAGACTTATATGATCGTTAATTTCAAAACTTATATAATTAATTGAAATATATGCAAGCCGGTTAAACATCCATATTAATAAAAAAAATTATAATTTACTTGCAATTGTCCATATAATAACCTAATTTTGAGTTAGAACATAATAATAAAGTAATAATAATCAAATATAAGATCAACATTTTTAAGTGTGAAAATGAAGTGGACTATGTTCTATTAAGTTTCAAGGATTTTTTTTATAAAAAAAAACAAACAACATATTTTCAAAGACGAGACACTTGAAATAATCCTCGACCGTCCAGGATTTAACCACAGCATTTATAATACGCAATTTTTTCTGTTACTTTTTACAGAATTCACTCTTACATCATACTAAATACTAAATTTATGGTAAATTATTTATGTCAATGTCATTATTTAACTATATCTTAGCACTTACATGCACTCATCACTACATTTTATTATATTTTTATTAATAGGTGATTTTTTTTATATCAATTTGCTTTTCAAAAACATAATTTTAAGATCTTGGATTGATACAGACAGGGTAAGGTTTGGGCCATAGATTGAAAGGGCTTGTCTAAGACATTTAAACAAAAAACAAAATAAAAAGTCAACGAATCTTTAATTGAGTTTTGCCCTAATCAATTGGGGTTTTTTTAACCTAGATTTTAAACTAGGATAAATGAAAATTAGAAAGCTTTTTGCAATATACACCATTCCAGTCAAACTATACAGAGGATGGATGACACGGACTCTCTTTCCTACCATTACCCTCTTCCCCAAAAGAACCTAATCCAGTGGCAATCAAAACACAATCGCCGCCGCCGCCGACACTATCACCACTAAAAACACCACCAAGAGAAATCCAAGACCCATATACAAATCAGTTGAAATCGAAGAGGAAGACTTTACCTTCTACTACTACCCTCTTCCCTAACACGAGGCCTCCTCTACCCCTCCCTCTCTCAATACACCATTCAAGAATAACAAAACCACCAAGGCAATGGACTCCCACGTGTCACTCGCATCCTTCACATGCAGGGACACACTAATTATGATCTTACGAAAGCTTGGAGCTCGAGACTTGGCACGTGCAAGCTGTGTTTGCAAGCTGTGGAGAGACATGGCTTCTGATGATGCGATTGTGAGGCCTGCGTTTATGGAACCATGGAAGTTGAAGGAGATAGTGGGGGAGCCTGTGTCTGGGAGTTTTTGGAGAGAGAATGGGATTTGGAAGTTTGCTATTTCACATAAGATTGCTAGAGGAGATTCTGTTACTAGTCTTGCTAAGAAGTATTCTGTTCAGGTAATTATTAAAGCTGAATGCTTTTTGGTCACCGGATTTCTTGTTATATCTTCGTTCCTGTTTGTTGATTTGGGGGGAAGAAAGTGGTTAATGGTATGTGGGAATCTTGGGATATGCTTATTTTGCTTGTAGAATTGGATAAAATGAGTGGCTTTTGCGATGTTGTGGTGTGCTTGTTTTCTTCTTCTTCCTTTTTTGTAGAATTGGAGATGATTCTGTTTTTCTTGTAGTATCATTGCTTTGTTTGTAGAGTTGGAAAGGTTTGTGCTTTTTAGGTAGTGGAGTTTTTGCTGTATGATTGCTCTGTATCTGGTTATTGAGAAATGGGAAGTTTAGGCTTCTGTCCTCTATCCTCTATCATTTCATTTAGTTGATAGGACAGTATCATGTAATGCCACTTCAAGTTTGTACTGTATGATTTTGGTTCTGCTCTTCTTTCTAGATTGTTAATGAGTAAATTATGATTTAAAAAAAAAAAAAAACTGGCAAGCTAGCATGTGCAAAAAAAAAATTTAGAAATAGCGCAGCTAGAAAAACCGCAGTTCCCACCTGCAAGTTATTGAAAAGGAGGCAGCTGGGAACTGTTATTTTTATAGAAACTGCTGGTGGGAATTGTGTTTTTATTTTTTAAATAGCACAACCAATTTTTAGTGTAAAGGTGTCTTTTTTTAGGGTGTGTTTGATTATGTTGGCGCACTGAATTTTTCGAAAGAAAACAATTCTTCAAATTAATTATTTTTTAATGTTTTTATACTGTTTTGATGTTAAAAATAAATTTTAAAGAATAAAAAAACATTATTTTAATGTATTTACAAGCCAAAAAAACACTTTAAAATGCCAAACACAACCAACATACCGCAGATCCTACTGCAGTTCCCAACTGCAGGAGCTGCTGTAATTCGCTGGCTGTGCTATTTCTTATTTGAACTATGGAATCTTTTGTAGTTGATTTATGATGAGCTTCAAAGTAAATGCACTGAACATTTATATATATTTTCTTTGCCTGGAACAGGTTAGGGATATAAAGCTTTTAAATAACATGATAAGTGACAATGGCATATATTCAAGGGAGAGGTTGTTAATCCCCATAATCAATCCAAACAGTCTCATAAATGGGATATGCTACATAGAGTTGGATACCTATGCGAAAAGGGAAGTGTTAGTATTATATCCAGGAGGCCAGCCTGACAAAAAGCTATTGTCAAAGGGATCATCGATTCTGTAAAGAGAAGCATGCAAGTTGATGGTGGAACTGCGCAATACTACTGGTCTATTTTGAATTGTAACCCTCGAGACAGAATTTTCAGCAGACCTCAGGCGGGGGAGGGATTCAGGGTTTGCTTAGCTGGAAATCGGAAACATGCTGTGCACCGAAAAAGTAATGCTCTGAACCAAATCCCTTCTTTATATTATGTGGTTTTTCTTAACCTGTACGATGTAAACAAAAACCAAGTTGTTCCAAGGGATATTTGCTCTCCAAGGCACTCAGATGACGATGCTAGAACATCGATGAGCCTATGCTGTGGCCAGCTTCCAAAGCTCTGGCTTCCTTTCCTATATAGCTTAATGGATCCCGCAAATTTGTAATGCTGTACCGCAACCTGGGATTGCTCTTGTATGGATATATTTTTTTTATGACATTGGTAGTGAGTTTGTCCGAATTTATATGTGGGAAGTAGTTCATAGTCGCGCTATCATTTGAAGTGATTCTCTACTTTGAGACTATCATCCATTTGGTTAACAGGGATGACCTCCTCCTCCTTATTCTTCTTCTAAAAATAGGATGACCTTCTGCAACTTGATTTTCACCGCAAATTATACAATTGATTTGCAGAAATTCATGTATCCCTGACAATGTATTACCACGTTTTGGGTTTTATTTAACTATATTGTTTGATTATCATGTCATCAACCTCGATTCTTTCGAGCCTTCCACCCTCTCATCTCCTGGCTATTTTCATCTGTCCTATCACAGGACTCACGACTTTTCATTTGGTTTTATTTACGAAAAGATACCATTATTGAAACATTGCGCTGTAATTTAATTGCTATTAATGCGTAATCATCTAACCAGTCTCTGTTGAAGGTTGGAAGGTGGACAGTTCGATCTGAATTTAGAATTTATTTTAAAACATGTTGTTTTGATAAACATATATTAATGTGTTTTATTTTAAATTTCAAGTTTGATACTCTCATTTATATATATATAAAAGAAAAGTTATGTTCACATTAGTATTTAGAGCCTTCTATCTACAAATTATTGTTTTTTTTTTTTTTGAAAGAAATGCACCCAGAAAAACTATGTCGTTTTTGCATAGAGTACAACAAAACAACATCGTTGTGCTGCGATTTTTGTTTTTATCCCGCAATTTCTTAAAAATCTACTAGATATACAACTATTAAGTTATGTCTGATTGTGTCTTAGCACTTCAATTACTGTCTACAGAGTTGTTTCTTCATCAAATCAAAGACTAAAGGCATCTAGCCAGCTAGGACCGGCCATGACCATGATCCCACCTGGAATATCATTCACAGTCCGGGAGAGGTCTACAGAAGTGTTTGATATCCAGCACAGAGGTCTCGTACCGATCTCACTTAATTAGTTTGAGAAAGATTAAGAGGGATCGAGAGATGGGCGATGACAGGTTCATTGATGCTGAGCCTGATACGACAAGGTCTCTGAACTTCCAAGCCATCGACGTTAATGAGTTAAAGAAAGGGTGATCATATCCTCTGCGCAAGCAAACTAGGGTTCTACAGCCATCATGGTCATTTTCCCTTCCCTTTCCTTCGACATACATGAATCATGATGTTTAGTTTGTTTGCTTGAGTCTCGATCGAGGCCTTATTTAACTATAAGTTTCTTATAGTTTTTTTTTAAATTAAAAAAATGCTCAAATTACTCGAGATCTTTTAAAGAAAAAAGGTTGCTAGTGTTAGTTGAGCTATCATTGACAAAAAAATTTTAAAGTATTTTTATTCTACAGTCAGGCTGCGCACCTTAAACAAGAGTCAAGAAGGGAAACACATGTGCTCTACAAGGAAATTGTTAGAAAACAAATCATGGGAGGATGGTAGGAAGGTAGAAATGGTGGAAGGAAGACAACTCTTTTCTATATTAAATTTCTTTTAAGAGAGAGAGATTCGTACACTTTACCATCCATTACAATATTCAACATATTTATTAACCGGTCATGTAATAAAAATTTAAAATTAAAAGATTTATTTTTTATATAGTTTTAGATCTGAGTTCTTAGTTGTTTATATAATAACCACTAAAAAGTTATATAATCATTAACTTTAAAATTTATGGAATTAATTAAGATGTATGTAAACTGATCCAAATACCTACATTAATCTAAAAAAAACATGTTTATTGGATAATCATTTTATTAATTTTCTACATAAATATATACATAGAATAACTAAAATAATAGTATGAAAGTAAGCTTTAAAATTAATTCAGACACGCTTTTAATTTTAAAAATCTTACAATCCTTGAATTTTGAAAATATATTGGAGGATAATTTTGCTGTGGTTGATGCACCTTGTTTTATCTCTTGTACAGGACAAAAATTTCAATGTTCTCTTTTATATTTTTAGGATAATCACACTGTTACCATCATTTTTTTGGATCTTTCATCTTGTGAAGAACTTTCTCCCATCTTTATCTTAGCCAATCTTTTTATCATGGCTATCTAATGACATTTCATTGTCATCTCTTCAATCCATTTTTCTTCGATAGTTGTATTTGTTTGAACATAGCTACTTAGCCATTTTTCTCTTTATATGGCTGTTGTTGCATTTCTCGAGCCATGGTTTTGTCTCTTGAAATAGCTATTTTATTTTATTTAAGAGAATATGGTTGTTATTGTTTTTTAAAGTGTTTTTATTTAAAAATATATTAAAATAATATTTTTTATATTTTTTAAAAATTATTTTTAATATTAATAAATTAAAATAATTTGAAAACATTAAAAAGATATTAATTTGAAACAAAAAAAATTAATTTTTTTAAAAATATTTTTAAAACACAAGAATAAATAGAAAAACAATAATTTCTTTGTTATTTCCATCCCTTTTTATAGGAAAAACCCTCCTTTTTATTTTTTTTACATGTGGTCTCTCTTATATCACTTTTCTTTTCTAATAAAAGTTGTTATATTTTTCTAGTTATTTCATTTTGACTTATTCATGTTAGGTTGCAGCCTTCTTCTTATCATAACTTTTTAGCCATTTGCCATCCCTTTCTTTAGATAAAGCCCCCGCTCTCTCTCTCTCTCTCTCTCTCTTTTTCATATGTAATCTTCTTTGTACCGCATCTCTTCTATTAGATTGAATTAGCTATATTATGAAACACTATACTAGATCAAATTGCTCTAATCAGGAAAAAAAAAAAAAAAAAGGAAAGCATGGCATAACAAGCATCCCAATCCCATTCATATCATATTTTACTCTCGTAATAGAGAAAATTCTAGATATTAATAATCATATCTACACACATTAAACACTTTTAATGTAGACTTCAAAATTAATTCCAACAAAATGTTCGAGAGGTAAATAAAAAGAAACGGTTTCTATGTAGTGAACATAGGATGGGGATCAAAACCTTTTGTTTCATATATATGGAACCACACAACATGGCTTGTCTTTGCATTCTCTGCGTTGAAGCACATTCAAGTTTCTCATGTTTTGCATTGTCTAATTACACAAGAGTGCATTTATTACATTAAATTAATTTATGTGCTTTAATCATGCATTTCAATATTGGTATGCAAGATAGGCTGACAAGCACACCTTTGCAAAGTTATTGGAAGGCCCTATTGGCAATTGAACCTCAACAATGAAGGTTGTTAACCTGCTATTTCCTTGTGTTTCTTTCTTTCTTGTTTTGTATACAGGTGACAGATATAAAATTTTCAGCCACCGAGGTTAAAATGACCACAAAAAGGATAAGTATCTGTGGTGAAATTAGTGGCGAAATTTTGCAATGCTTAAACGGTTTTGGATGAGGAAGGGCTTGATGCAGCAGAGGAGTTGAACAATGCTAGCTCTTTCTCCTGCTGTTCCTTGAGAAAGCTCTGTGCAGTTGCTGTCACAATTTTAAAGACGAAGGTCGTGAGCATGAGCAATATGACCGTGTTCCATATTGAAGCAAATGAGAAGTCCCATTTTCCCACCTGAAGAAAATAATAATAAAAAAAAAAGTCACTTAGTGCACATAAGAACATGCACACAACCATGGAATCTTGAAATCGCATGAAATTGCATAACTAGATCAGTTAAGAATTGCATCTTGAAATGCCCCTAGGTAAAGAGCATCTTAAGACTAAATGTTCCTACGCAACTCTGAGAATTCATACACATGGGCAGCATGCACACACAAACACATGGTGAATAATGGAACGCATATCATGCTTAAAAGTGCAAGCAAACCTCTGCAATCAAGGATATATAAATTTATGTCCATAACTATGCTTTGAATGTTGCATAATCAATCTATAATCAAACACTGCGCTTTGATGCTGATGCCAAAGCACAATGGCAATCAATGTAGATAAATATGTATTCGGATTCTATAAGACATCTTACCACAACATTTGAAACTGTAGGTGTGGGTGCCATATACTTGTTTCTAATAATTTGTAGTTTTGCAACGAGTTTTGGCAGAACTGTAGCGAGTCCAGGGACAAAGCTGAGCAATCGAATCATCTCATTTTCTATTAAGTCAAGGAGTTGATGGTTGCATACTGAGATGATAAAAGCTGTCTGCAACAATAAAAACAACATAACTATTGTCAACTGATAACAAAAAAAAAATGAGAACACAAAATCAGGAAAAATTTTGAACCTGCAGCAACCACCAATTGGATATGATACAATGTGCTCGCATATGTAGCACATGCATCATATCAAGTAGCGCAAGAAAATAGAGCATTGCATACCTGAATGTGGGTTTTGATGATTGCTTTTCCAGTCAATGTTGCGAGGAAGAACTTCCAAAATGGAATTCCAAATTGCCCACACAAGATACCTGCGAGGTCAAAAAGAGGATTTGGCACCTGCAGCATACCATTTTATCAGGAAATTGCAAATTCAACTAGAGTGGTGAGGGCTAAGCCATCAGATTGTTGATCAAAAAGACTTCTCATGACAGAATATGGCCAGAACTCTGCAATTGCATTTAGGAAAGAATGGGGTGTAGAGGTATAAATAGTTGCAACAGCCAGCACGGGAAAGAATTTCTGCTAAGTATATCCTATATAGACATGGGGGAAAAAAAATCCATATATGCAAGCAGCATAATCTGTATTATTTCAATTTTCCTCTATGACGACAAAGTAAATCACTTTAAGAGTTAAATCAGGCAGAATAACTGCAGCAGCAACTCTCATGCTGGTAAAGGAGATCATCATTATGATTCTAAGGTCTCATTACAAAAAGAAAGAAAGTTACCGAAGCAAGAACTAGAATAGTGAAGAAGTTCATATACTGCAAATGTGAAAGGAGCCAGTTCTTAATCTGTTTCATTTGAGTGGCCATGATTGTGTTATCTTCTTCTGAAGAAGATTCAAATTCTTTCATGACTTCCAGCTTGCTGCCTGACATGTTAGCTGCGCACACATTTCAAGATAAACTAAATAATTAAAATCATAGAGCAGTGAAATGAGCAATGCCTGCTACCTTGTAGCTACAACAAAATGATCATGCAGTTCAGATAATAGAATATGTTAACAGGGGCTGAATTCCCTTCACTCGTGAGTGCCAAGAAACTCACAGGAAGAAAAAATATCCAATAGAGACCACTAATATACCTAGGCACAAAATGGAGCACCTTATGTCCAAAATAAGCTAAGCCCAACAATTACCAAACAATCAAATTTAACACTTCACCATACTAAT